CCACCTCGGTCCGGGGCGCGTCCGCCCCGTCGGTCCCGCGGCCTTACCGGGCAGGGCGAGCACCGAGTCGTACATTTTGCAGCTCATCATCCCCGTGCTCTGCGTGACGCAGTCCATCCACAGCCCCTTGTACATGGCCTGGGCCGTGATGATGTTGTCGCCCGCATAGGAGCTCATCTGCCACTGCGGGATGGCGGTGCAGGCCACCAGACCCACCCAGCCCAGCAGGGCCATGGAGAAGCCCAGCAACTGCAGGCCCGAGTTGGCCATTTCCGCCCTCAGAAAACACTGGGGGCGCCGGGCGGGAGACCCTACAGTAAAACAAACGACACTTGGGGGGCAGCCCCACGAAAGAAAACTTGAGGTAGAGTTTTCCGGTCACCCAAAGAGACAAAAAGAGTTTGGGTCAGGTGAATGCAAATCTTGTCACCGAAGTACACACAAATCGACCCCTCCAGTGAAGCGAAGGCCTCGCAGCAGAGGGAATAGGATCCGCCGGGAGGGTGGTTCCAGACAAAAGCGGTCCCCGAAGGCCAGGCGGTTCCCTCCGGCGCTCTCGGCGACCCTAGCCAAACAAAAGGTGGAGGGGCCGTCTGGGCGCGGTTCTGGGCGCCGGCAAGTCCCAAAGTATCCTGGGCTGTTAGTCCGAGGCTGCGGTGCGCAGCAGAGGTGGCTCGGAGGTGAGCCAGCAGGTGCGGGCGGACAGGTGGGGCGCACCTGAGTATATATAGGGCGTCGGGGGCGCGGCCCGCGGGCCCCGGGAGCGCGGGAGGGGAAGGCGGGACCGGAGGGGCGGCCGAGGGTGACCTGACGTCACCGAAGGGACACTCACCTGAACCGGAAGTCGTGGCCCCCACCCCTCCTTGCCCAGGTGAGGAGGAAGAAACCTGAGCACCAGGGTCACGCCCCTTCGCTTGCCCGGTTTTGACCGCCGCTGGGGAGGAGGCGGTGGCTCCCCGGGAGTCCCAAGCTCCGAATCAGCCCCTCCGGACTGGATTTCCCTCGAACACCGGGATGCCCCTTCCCTTCTTCCCAACAGGTGCGCCTGGGACGCTGCGGGGCGCCCCTGACCAGCCTCGGCGCCGCCCTTTCCCGGCCGGGTTCTGTCCAAAGTGCTCTCTCCCCGGCCCTGCTTTCGCCCTCACCCGCTGCTCTCCTTTTTTTTCTGTCTCCTACCCTAGTCGATCCCACCTTCGGGGACCCCGGCCCGATCCCTGAGAGTCGCCCCCTTCAGCACCCGCTTCACGGTCCCGGTTCTCTGGCTCTGCTACAGACACCCGGCTTCTGAGCGTGGCTCCCCAACAGCCCCACCTGCCTGTGCCCCCATTCCAACCCGACATGACTTACAGCCTGAACCCTTTGCACTCAACCTCCCCACCTACCACTAGCCCCTCCGGCATCAAGGATCCTAACTGGAGGAAGAAACCACTGGGACCGAAAGCCGGCCGAGGGTGGGGAGCGGGGTGAGGGCTAGGTCAGAGTCTTGGCCACACCCATCGTTCCCCTCCCTTAAAGTCTTTTCAGACCTATCCTCCACCTTTCCCATCCCTCCCCCACACTCGCCCGTTTCTCTTTCCCTCCCGAGCACTGCCTATTGCTGTGCACACCCTCACGCCCTCACTGTTCCGTCCTCCCTATAATCTGGCTCTCTAAGGTGGTCGTCCATGGTCCCTCACCCTGCAGTTTTGCTCTGTCTCCCCAAAGCGTTGCTCCCTCCTTCCTCCTGGCACCCCTTCCAGCCTTTTGTTCCTTCCTCCTTCATCTTTGGTCATCTCCCCTTCCTGCCTTTCCTGCTTTGGAGCTCCCTATTTTACTCCTTGTCTTGTTTGTTTGTTTGTTTGTTTGTTTGTTTGTTTGAGAGGGGAGAGGTCTGTGTTACCCAGGCTGGAGTGCAGAGGTGCAAATCTCAGCTCACTGCAGCCTCGCCTCCCGGGCTCAAGCGATCACCTCGCCTCAGCGTCCCCAGTAGCTGGGACCGCAGGTGCACACCACCACGCCCAGCTAAAGTTTTTGTATTTTTGGTGGAGAAGGGGTTTCACCGTGTTGCTCAGGCTGCTCTCGAACACCTGAACTCAAGCAATCCCCCCACCCCCGCCTCCTAAAGTGCAGGATTACAGGCGTGAACCACCACACCCAGCCCACTCCTTGTCTTTTCGTTTACCTTTGTGCCTTGTCTCCAGTCTCCTTGGAACCCAGCATCAGCAATTACTCTTTCTTTCCCCTTCTTAGGTGCACACTGCACTTTCCCCACCCACCCTGCCCAGTTTCCTCCCAATCTTCCTACTACCCTCCAACCTCCTCATACTTCTCAGATTCTCACATACCCTGTTTATTCTGGCTCTGTCTCATTTCATTTTCCTCTCTCCGTTTTTTTACCTCAACTCTCTCACGTTTTTTAATCTTTTTTTGCCCTCTCAAACATTTCTCTCCTTCCTTCATTTATTCGCTAAACAT